TAGATGGTTTACTCATGTATCTACTTACTACACTAACACCATATGCAATATCAAGCCTAGAACCTATCATGGCATACATTAGGCATCCAACAACATTGGAATATGGAATATTGCACATAAAAGAAGCCTCATCCGAGGCTAACTCACTATCAACAGCCTTTAACCTGAAGTGACCAGCAAGGGGAACACTTACAGGTTTGGCCAGGTACATGTCAAAGGTCTTTAAGACCTTTTTCACATACTCAGATTGAGAGAGAGTCAATTTCCTCTCATCTCTTATCCTTGTAATGTCCATGCCAAGTATCCTTTTGGCTGGACCAAGAAATTTCATCTCAAATTCCTTTTTCAACAATGATTTCAGATTATTAATTTCATTTATGTCCTTAGATGCAATTAACATGTCATCAACATAAATCAGCAAGTAGATAAAACAATCATCATACAATTGTTTAAAGTACACACAATGATCAAAACTACTCCTATTAAAGCCTTTTGACAAAACAAAATCATCAAATCTCTTATACCACTGTCTAGGGGCCTGTTTTAACCCATAAAGGGACCTTTTCAAAAGGCACACTTTGTTCTCAGCCCCCTTTTTTTATAAAACCTTCGGGTTGCTCCATGAATATGAGCTCTTCAAGGCTACCATGCAAGAAGGCAGTCTTGACATCCAGTTGTTCCAATTCCAAATCATGAATTGCAACAACTGAAAGAATGAGTCTAATAGAAACATGTTTCACAACAGGGGAAAAAATTTCATTGTAATCAACCCCCTCAACTTGTGAAAAACCCTTAGCAAAAACCCTTGCCTTAAACCTGGCAGCTTCAACACCTGGGATTTCTGGCTTCCTTTTAAAGATCCATTTGCATCCAATCACCTTCTTGTTCTTTGGACGCTCCACCAAAACCCAAGTCTTATTTTTCTCAAGAGACTCCATCTCTTCCTTCATGGCTTTTAGCCAATGAATTTTGGAATCCAGCCTCATAGCCTCTTGGTATGAGCTAGGTTCATTAAACTCCAACACATCTCCAACTTGGAGTGCAAATGCTATGACATCTGCATGTGCAAAATGACTTGGAGGTCTTATATTCCTCCTAGTCCTATCCCTAGATAGTAAATAATCCTCTAGATTATCTCTATCCACTTCCACATCATGCTCCTCAATGGGAATGTCATTCCCATCATCTTGAACTTCAGCAACAGTGTGCTGTTGTTCATTTTCAGCCACATCAGGTTGCTGCCCAGTGTTGTTAGGCAACTCCACCTCCAACTCAACTGTCCTAGGAGGATGCTCTTTGTCACTAAGTTTGGATATGTCTATATAGAATGTGTTTTCTTCGAAAATCACATCTCTACTTATGACACACTTCCTTTCAGCTATGAGCCATAGCTTATATCCCTTAACACCTGAAGGATAACCAACAAATACAGATTTAACAGCTCTAGGACTCAACTTATCTTGTTTTACATGCATGTATGCAAGACAACCAAATGGTTTTAAGTGTCCTAGACTTGGTGGCTTACTAGACCAAAGCTCCATAGGGGTTTTAAGACCTATAACAGTGGATGGGCTCCTATTTATAAGGTAACAAGTTGTAGAAACGGCCTCAGCCCAAAAAGATTTAGGGAGACCAGATTCAGCCAGCATACATCTGACCTTATTTAGGATGGTTCTATTCATCCTTTCAGCCACCCCATTTTGTTGGGGTGTTTCAGCACAAGTTATGTGCCTTTTTATACCATGCTCATTGCAAAAATCAAAAAATTGATTATTGCAAAACTCAAGCCCATTATCAGTCCTTAGGACCTTGACTTTCTTATCAGTCTCATTCTTTACAAGGGTCTTCCAATTCTTGAAGCTATCAAAGGGTTGATCTTTTTGCTTCAAGAACATGGTCCATACTCTTCTAGAATATGAATCCACAACCGAAAGGAAGTAATGGCAACCAGAGAGAGAAGGGGGAACATTAGGAGATCCCCACAAATCAGAGTGTATGTAATCAAGGACAGATTTAGAAAAATTTGAAGAACTAGGAAAAGGTAACTTGTGTGCTTTTCCTAAAATACAATTTTCACAAAATTCAACACAAGTTACTTTCTTAGAACTTATAATATCTTGTTTACATAACTCAGACAGACCCTGGTTGCTAATATGACCCATACTCTTATGCCAGAGAACAGATTCATCATCCTTGGCTGCTGTTATACAGCTTTCAGATGAAATAGCATGGCCCTGTAATATGTACAGGCCATTAATCAACCTTCCTTCCATTAAAATTTCACTACCCTTAAGAACAGTGAGTGAACCTTGCTCACTCTTGAATAACAGCCCACTTGAGTCAAGCATACCTAGAGAAATTAAATTTCTCCTCAAGTCAGGGACATACCTCACTTCTTTGAGGATTTTATGACTGCCATCAGCCATTAGAAATTTGACAGCCCCAATCCCTTCTATTTGACAGACCTGGTCATTCCCTTTAAGGACCTTTCCACCCTTTTGGAACCTTAAACCAGCAAGCCACTCCTTCCTAGGAGTCATGTGAAAAGTGCAACCTGAATCCATGACCCATTCAGTCTCAAAACCCTTATTAGATACCATAAGGACTTCAACACCCTCACACCCACTAAGTAAATTTGCATACTCAGTTTTAGTTGCTGCCTTTGCAGCTCCCTTATTATTTTCAGGGCAATTCTTCTTGATATGCCCCTCTTTATGACACAACCAGCAGGTAAGTTTACCTTTTGGCTGCTCCTTATTTTTATTACTTTGTGTGTTTTGGTTAGGTTGAGATACATTATTGTTTCCCTTCCATTTATTTTTAAATTTCCCCTTCTTGTTCCCTTTACCCTTCACAACCAACCCCTCAGCATGAGGCTTTTTATGGGAGAGTATTTCAACCTCCATTGCTCTCAAAGCTTCAGTTATCTCATCTAAGTCCATTCCCCCTTTGCTGTATTTTATAGCATCTTTTACACCCCTATAAGAATCTGGAACAGAATTCAAGAGGATCAAAATTTGATCCTCATTTGAGGCAGTTGCCCCAACATTATCCAGATCTAAGGTGAGTTTGTTAAACTCATCAAGATTGTCCTCCAAGCACTTAGAAGGATCCATCTTGAAGGAAATAAATTTCTCCTTCAAAAACATCTTGTTTGGGGCATATTTAGTTTGATAGAGAGCCTTAAGCTTTTCCCAAAGCTCTCTAGGATTAGTTATCTTACATACACGCCTAAGGACACTATTAGACAGATTTACAACAATTAGACTATGAGCTAAAGCCATTAAGTCTTTTAGTTCCTTAGGTGTCAGGGAATTAGGAAGATCCTTTTCAGGACCAACAGCATCCTCACACTTCTGTTGGACCAAGACAACCATCATCTTGATCTTCCACATGTTAAAGTCACCCCATCAAACTTCTCCACCTCAACCTTGGTGATACCCATCCTCTTCAGCTTCCAGCAACAGAAAACACGAGGACCAGAGGGAAATCCACAAAAAACACGGAACAGAAACAGAGACAAACCAGAAGGGAAAAAGAACCAAGAACCTAAGCTCTTGATACCACTTGTTACGATTCTTGGTATAGAGCTACCAAGAATCAGCCCACTTATCGAACTAACAGAAACAGAAAACATAAGAACCAACACACAAGAAATTTATACTTGGTTCAGAAATTCTTTGTAAAAGAATTTCCTACATCCAAGTTGGCCAGAGAGGGTCAAACGCCCTCTAGCATGCAATTTATTCAGATAACAGTAATAGGTACAGAGTTTACAGTAGCCAACAGACCACAATGCAAGGATCTCAAAGAACAGAAAAACAAAGGAAGAAAATGTACAAATATCACAACAAATAACTAAAAGAATAAAGAACATAAAGAACCGATTGCTATTATACTAAACAGAGAATAACTACAAGAAGAGATATCACCGAGTAAGCTCCTGACACCGCAAGTTCAGCAACCTTCTTCACCGAGAAAGACCTTCTCTTATCACCGAAGAAAACATCAGGATGCAAGAAACCCCAAACCCCTCTTGAACGAATTCCCACAAAGTACACCGATTAAAATGTTCGCCTTGTTATTCTGATCAACTTCCTCCAAAGCATTGAGTAGAGATTCTCAATGTATCACTCTCAAACAGCCTCACAAACTCTCGATGAGAAACCCTAACTTTTTCCCTTTTCAGAGAACTTACGAACAGAGAGAAGAAAAAGCTAGATGAAAAGCATGTGAGTTTTCCTGAATCTTCTGAATAATATCCAATAGAAAAAATAACTTGCAACTTAATAGCCTTCTCACAAAAACAAAACGCTGCGTATCATTTAGGTGAGGCTAATGAGTTAAAAGAGATCAGCATGTGTGCCTTTGGATGAAATAAAATACTTTTGGCCCACAAACAATAAATAGCAAATGACAGCTAGTTTAGTGAATACACAATAACAAAATGAATAATTTAATATGTGTTTGAATTTTTTTTAATTTAAAATGACTTATAAAAGTTTTATTGCTAATTTTTTATTTTTAGAAAAGTAATTTTTTGGAAAGAAAAAAAAAAAGAAGTTTCACCAAACACCATAATCTTAACATTATTATCTATTATCAATTAGTCTATGAGTATTTTACGAATTAATCCTAAATTTATAAACTCATGCTAAACTAAACTAATCTTTTATGAATTTATGACCTAATACAAATATTATCCAAACTTCTCACTATTAGATTAATTCTAGTGGCTTTAAACTAATATTTTCTTAATGTGACTTTACTCCACAATGTTGATAAGAGTTTCATATATTTGTGCAATAACATGAAATTATAGTACAAATCTTAACCTCAAAGGAGTAATTAACGACGGTATAAATTTTTTTTGCAAATCTTAAATCTAATACCAAAAAATTGAAAGCCTTGGGCCGAAGCTGGACACATGTACTCGTTCTTCTTATTACAGTTTTGTAAACGCTGACTACTAGTATTTTCTACTGTCCCTGCATCCATCCTTAAAGGGATCGAGGTTCCGAGGAACATGACCTCTGCAAACAAACCATGATACCCCAACCGTTGACGTTACTGTTTCTTCTTCCTTCCCTATCCAAACCCCATTTGTCTCCTTTATTTCTTGCTTCTTGCAATAAGCATTCACACCCGTTTCTATTTCTAATTAATGTATTTATTTTCTTATTTGAAATAGACTTCTCTCCAATAAAGGCAATAACACCACCTTATCTGTTTCCTCACTTGTAAGGGTACTCAGATTTGAACCCAGTTCGGGAGAAAAAGTTTGTTAATTGATTCGAAGAGTTTAGATTATGGCAATAGCTCGGTTAGTTAGGCAAGCAAAACGCCCTCATGGGTTATGGGTAAAGATGACAGCTGTGACCATATTGGGTCTCTGCTTTATCTTTGTTTGGGCAGTGTTTTCTTCTTCTTCTTCCTCTGTCACAACACAAAGGGAAAGTTTTGAGGACATTGCAGAACCTGTGTCTGCTTCTAGGACTCAAAGACCAACACCCAAGAAGCCCAAACCAGAAAAGCATGAAGTTTCAATCACGTTGAAAGATAAGAATGAGAAAAAAATTAATGGGTCTTCTCCTGCCACACATCTTCATCCTAAGCCTGCGAAGAAACCGGTGCATAAGGAAGATAAAGAGAATCGGAATCAAGGGTCAGGGGATCCCCATCCAGAGGAAGATGAAGAAGTGTTGGAGGCTAAAGAAGAAGGATTTGATCGTGACAGTGATGTGGACGTTGATGCTGGCAGTGATTTGGTTGATTCTGTAGATCAGGATTCTGAGATGTTGTTGGAAGATGGAAGCGTGGAGGAGTCTAAGAAAACAAGTAAGAGAAATGTAAAGGGACCGTTGTTTGATCCGAATGCTAATTATAAATGGAAATTGTGTAGCACTAGAAGCAAGCAGAACTACTTGCCCTGCATTGATATTGAAGCTGGTGGTGGAAAGGTACAAAGCTACCGTCATAGTGAGAGGAGTTGCCCAAGGACACCCTTGATGTGTTTGGTTCCTCTTCCACATGAAGGGTATGGGTCTCCACTGCCATGGCCTGAGAGCAAATTGAAGGTATATGAAAAAAGTAGATAAGCTTAAATGTTTTTTTTGTTGGGTTGAAATGTAGGTTCCTTGTTAGTTTTCTAATGGTAACATGTTCATTTGTGTCAGTGCAGATATTGTATAAGAATGTTGCTCACCCCAAACTAGCTGCTTACATAAAAAGGCATAGATGGCTGATGGAGTCTGGCGAGTATCTTACTTTTCCTCAAAACCAGTCTGAGTTCAAGGGTGGGATTAATCACTACCTTGAGTCCATTGAAGAGGTTGGTTTTCTATTAGGGTGTGTTATGTTTGGTTCCTGTTAATAATTTGTTGTATATATGAAAAAATAAGAGAGGGACTGCTGGAGTTTTATTTCTCAAACATGATAAAATCAGAATTACCGTAACTGCTTTACAGATTAACTTGTTAGTGATTTGATGACTTGATGTTTTCATTATACCTATGATACTATGTGAGGAGAGAACAGTGAATTCAGGGAAATTAGCAATCATATAGTAGGTCTCTCCTTTGAACACTACATAATACATATGGTATTTATTTCTTGTAGTTAAATAATTCAAGATCTAGATACCAGCTAGTTTGGTAAGCTTGAACTTGTTTTCAAACTGTTATGTCTTGAAAATGAAGGGGAGCCTTGGCACAAAGGTCGGTGTTGTTGCCATATGACCTGAAGGTAACAGATTCGATTCATTGGTTAATAATGGATAATTTCAGTTTCTCAAACGTGGTCTACTTTCTTTGCAATTTGGATACAATCAGATGAAAATGTATCTGTGACAATGCAATTTCTTGGACTGTCTTGTTTATGGTTTGTTCATTAAATTGTTGAATATTTTTTTGGTTTTCTTTGCTGCAACTGTTTGCAGTGCCTGGTGATACATTTCTTTCATATATTATATAATTGTATTGTGATGTTAATATTGATGTTTGTTTATATTAGCTAAAATTATGACTTTCAACTTAACAGAATAGATTTTAGTTAATATTTATTGCTGTCATTGTTGGAAACATAGTGAAACTCATTCTGAATTGTATAGATGGTACCGGACATTGAATGGGGTAAAAATATTCGTGTTGTCCTGGACATCGGATGTACAGATTCGAGCTTTGTGGCTGCTCTCCTTGATAAGGAGGTTTTAACATTGTCACTAGGCTTGAAGGATGACCTAGTGGACTTAGCTCAAGTGGTACTGGAGCGTGGCTTTCCAGCAGTGGTTAGCCCTTTTGGTAGAAGAAGGCTTCCTTTTCCAAGTCAAGTTTTTGATGTTATACATTGTGGGGGTTGCAGCATACAATGGCATTCCAATGGTTTGTATCCCTGTATCTAGTTTCTTATTTTCTTCTCCTAATTATGTTTATTTTGTTATAATAATAGGTTGAATTTCCCCCCTCTTTTTTCAGGGGGTAAGCTTCTATTAGAGATGAATCGGGTTCTAAGACCTGGTGGATACTTTGTCATGTCAACTAAACATGACAGCATTGAAGGAGAAGAAGGTTGGTCTCACTTTTGAATCAAAATTCAAAAATGCACTTATAAATGAAATCAAGGAATTCTGTTTCTTGTTATTCATTCTTTTTTTCCTGGGCGTTAAGTGTGGTTATTATGATACTGTTAACTTGATGTAATTTCTATTTACTTACCATCTGTTAAAGCAAATTAGGTCTATTTTTATTTATTGAAAGGGATGGGTATTAATGCTTTTAAAAAAATGACTAATGCAGTCTGTGTGAGAAAACAATAGTGTAAACTATTCACATAAGCCCAAGATCAAACAACCAAAAGTGTGCAGATAAACAATCACAATAGAAAACACTAGAAGATGTAGACTATAGATGACTTTTCTTAACTTGTTTCATGAACAAGGTACATATTAATAGGCTCCTTACATAATTTTGTACCTTGAAACTAATAAGAAATAAATTATAGGTGACTTATTAGAAATACAAAGATGCAATTAACTTGAAACATGAACCTAGAAGCTATGAAGCACCAACTCCGACACGGCGTTTTCGATACGTTCCCAATACGTTCTCGATACGATCGTTAATTTGCTGATACGATACAATACGTTTCCGTACGCGTATCGGATACGTTAGGAAAAAAATTTCGGAGCATCGGTGCTTCATATATAGCCTAGAAGGCTAGAAGTAAATAAATGAACCTTGAAATATTAACTGAATTGTGAGCACTTATTTTTCCAAAAAAATTCAACTGTGTAATTTCAACAGTCTGGTGAATGATGATGCTCTCTCTCCATCTCTCATTTTGTGTGTGTTTGCCTCTATTTCCATTTCTTCCCTTCCTCAATTTCATTCCTTTCTAGACAGAATTTATGTTTAAACAGCTTAGCATCTGCTGGTTATGATGCCGGATACTCTATTCTGCTACTGTAATACTGGACAGTGTGCACTGTGCTTCATAACTTCTGTACTTAACAGTTGGAGATCAAATGCACATTGCCTTTTAGCAGAAAATATTGAAAAACATTATGGGATCCGCCAATGCTTTGTGGAGATATGAACCTTGCTCTGCATCGTTACATGACAATTGAAATGCCATACAAGTGACAGTAACATATATTTTCTGTTCCAGCCATGACCAGGTTGACAGCATCTATTTGTTGGAATGTTCTGGTACATAAAAGCGATGATGTCGGGGAAGTTGGAGTTAAAATATATCAAAAGCCTGAAGGAAATGACATATATGAATTGAGGAGGAAGAAGATTCCGCCACTTTGCAAAGAAAATGAAAATCCTGATGCAGTATGGTATGCTGCTGTAATATTATTTTGCAAAATTGATCTTCCAGTAATATGACTTTGCTTTTTACAATATATGTCCTGTTATAACTTTTTATGCTTGAATGTAAAAGCATATATATCTTCAGCATGTGAACCCAATTTTTCTCCGTTGCCTTATGTGAGAGGAACTTCTTTGATATGGTAATGACATATAATTATATAATTGCACTTTTGCATGGTAGTACAACCTCTGATTAGAATTGTGTATCACTTGGGTTATGTACAGTATTTATGGTTAGAACTAATTATTCGGGCTTCCAAACCAAATTGGAAAAACAGAAAAAGAAAGATGAAGATTGAAGTGCATTATGTTAGATGCTTGGGATACTTGCAAACCAAACTCATCATTTATGCTATGTTATGGCTGTTTTCTTTTGGTGTCAATCTGTTTGTTTACTGCATTTAGCTGCTTGAGTTCATTACATAGTAGGACTTGTTTCTAATCAGCTTAAGCTTCTTTATTAAATTGACAAGTTTTTCAACATTCTTTGAATAGGTATGTTACAATGAAGAATTGTTTGCACCCCATTCCATCTGGAATTGAACAACATGGGGCAGAGTGGCCTGAGGAATGGCCCAAGAGGCTTGAATCTTATCCTGACTGGGTAAACAATAAGGAGAAATTGGTTGCAGACACCAACCATTGGAATGACATTGTTAACAAATCATATCTCAATGGAATGGGCATTAACTGGACAAGTATCCGGAATGTAATGGACATGAAAGCCATCTATGGAGGGTATGCAAGCAAAACAGCTTGATTTTGTGCTCCATTTGGAAGTCTTAGAGCTTGTAGATATCATGGATAAGTTCATTGCATCAATAAGTGTGCTGCATTTTTCTTTGTTACATGTTTAAGGCACAAGTAATTTCTGCTCGTTGCATGATTTCCAATATATGTAAGAAACATGGGTAAAAAAATAAATCAACAAATTTTATGTGAAATTACAGATTGGCTGCAGCTCTCTCTCAACAGAAGGTTTGGGTGATGAATGTAGTCCCTGTTCATGCACCGGATACACTTCCCATCATTTTTGAACGTGGGCTTCTTGGTGTCTATCATGATTGGTGTGAGTCATTTGGCACTTACCCTAGAACATATGACCTTTTGCATGCTGATCATTTGTTCTCACGGCTCAAAAACAGGTATTATTGGACAATTTTTTATATTTGTGTATATATTTCTTATATTGATGTATATGCTTATGTTAAAATTTCACATGATAAGATTATATTCAAATTTTATTTTATCTCCTTCTTTATAAATATTTATGAATTTTGATAGGACTCAGCCTATTTATTGTCTATAAAGAGAGAGATAAATACAAAATTTTCATATGACAGATCAAATGAAAATTTTAATATAAGAGGATCTAGTCCCGGTTCTCGTGGATTATACCGGAGTTAGAATTATATATTACTGTTTTAGTGTTAACTACATGCTGAAGCCTATTGCTTTGATCACTTCCATATTCCATTTAATATGAGCTCTAAAACTTGTGATCAAATAGCTTCAATACTTGTAAAGAACTTTGGGATACACCACCCCAAATATAGTTTCAATACTTGTAAAGAACTTTGGGATACACCACACCAAAAGCTAGCTCAAAGGGTGAGAGTGTTCAAGGCTCTCAACACGTCTGTGGGAGTGCTCAAGGCCTTATAAACTCCACATTAGTTGCTCATACAACCAATGTGAGACTATATATCTCAACACGCTCTGATTAGGGGTGTTCGCGGTCTGGATTGGATCGGTTTTAGAAGCAAAAATCATCTGATCCAATCCATTCGGTTTGATCATATAATCATCCATTCGATTTTGATTTTTTTTCAAATCCGATCCGATCCAATCCAATTTTTTTCGGTTTGGATTGGATCAGTTTTCGGTTTTTGAAAATCCTAAAATTTATTTCATGATTATTGTGCAAATAACATCTTTTGTATATATTGGTTTTGTAATTTTTTTTTTGAAATACAAAAGCATTATTAAACTATAATATAATTTTTTTAATTTTGACAATGAGATATGAAGCTCTACAAAGATAAAATTTTGTTGATGAGATATGATTAGATTTTTTCTTGGGTTTAGTTGATGGGTTAATGGGTCTTGGGTTTAGAAATTTTTATGCTATGATTAGGGAAATACTCAAGTAGGTAGAGAGAAATTAATATATTGAATCGGTTTGGATTGAATCGGTTTTTATCAACCCATCCAAAAACCAATCCAATCCAATTAAAATTTGCGGTTTTTAATCGGTTTTCGGTTTGGTCACCGCGGTTTGAATCGGTTGATGAACACCCGTAGCTCTGATACCATGTAAAGAACCTTGTGATACACCACCCCAAAAGCTAGCTCAAAGGGTGAGAGTGCTCAAGGCTTTATAAACTCCACATTAATTGCTCATACAACCAATGTGGGACTATATATCTCAAGAACTATCTGCTTGAAACAATTATTTTGCAGGTGCAAGCAGCCTGTGTCCATTGTTGCTGAGATGGACCGTATACTACGGCCCGGAGGTTGGACAATCATACGTGACAAAGTTGAAATCCTAAATCCATTGGAGGCAATATTGAAAAGTTTGCACTGGCAGATTATAATGACTTTCGCCCAGGATAAAGAGGGTATCATATGTGCACAGAAAACTAAGTGGAGGCCTTAAATCTCCCTTGTTATGTGCAATTTTCTTCTTGTATCACACATGACTTGAATCACCATGTTCTTTCTTTAAACGTGAAACGATATGAAGGAAATTTTATGGGCATCCTTCATCTTACAAATCAATCAATCATCAATTTTTTTTTTTTTTTTTTTTTTTGATAACAATCAATCAATCATCAATTTCGATCAATCTAATATAAAAAGGATTCAAGTTTGTATAACTCTACCGAGTGGTGGCTTATATTTGTGACACAAACATCTCATTAAAATGTTGACTTGTGCCATAGTTTTTCCTATGTAATAAATTGTTGCAAACAATTTAAAATTTAAATTTATGTTACCATTTTATTTCAATTAATTAAAATTTGAATCTGATTAATATTTTTCATAATTAATTTTTTTAGAATTGTAATTTTATTTTGTACAACTTTGTAGTTTGTAATACAATTTGCATATAAATCAACGAGGGGAATATTTAATAGGTCAAATCAAATAATAATAATTTAATACGATTTGCAATTTGCAATTTATTATTAAAATTACTCTTTAAGCAGACGTGTGCCGTACTTTTTTTTTGGTGGAGTAGACTAGTATAAATAATTTATTTCTTAGTAGATAGTTAACTCCAGATAAATAAATCAGGAGTAAATCAAGCCTAAAATCTGTAAATTAATTAATTATAGAAAAATAAATTGGAATTAAATTAAACGTATGATCTGTCATCTATTTTCTGTGTAATCTGTCTATTAATAAAATAAATCTACAATAATTACATAATCATGCATGATTTTTGTAATAATTACATAATCATACAATAATTATAATAAAACTTTTTGTAATTTATTTTAAATTTACAAACTTCAGAGCTCTACCATATTATAATCTGTCTAATAAAGAAAATTGTCCTATCACAATTCGTCTAACAAAAAAAGTCTATAATAATCATACAAGTATATATTTTTTATTTAAAACAATTATCATTAATGAAACTAATTTAACTCTCCCGACCAAAAAAATTTAACTTTTAGTTATTTCTATTATTTTTACAAATTTTGGAGTTCTATCATATTTTATCTTTTTTTTGGAGATTTGATATGATATTTTTATCATCGTAAAAGTAATAATTTAAATACAATTTAATCAATTTATTAAAATAAATTTAGTTAAAAAAAACAAATTTACTTTTTAACAAATATACAAACAATATTATTTAGTATGAGTGTAATTAAGGAATAAAAACATAATATAATGAAATAATCAAATTGAATTCGCATCAAATTAAAACCAAATCAATTTAGAAAAAACGGTATTGATTAATTAAAAAATTTGAATAAGAAATGTGAAATGTATCAGCACAAAAAATTAAGATATGTCTACCAAAAAAAATTAAGATAAAAAAGAATAAAACATTTATTTGTTAAAAAATTAATCAACAAAAGAGCGTAATATAATAAAATTAATAAATAAATAAATTTATTAATAAAAATATTTCCATTAATTAAAAATAAATTTTGGAATTACTTTGGATAAAAATAAAAAATGATTTAATAAATATATGACAATGAAAAAATTATTATCTGATTAGAAATTCATATATGACAATGAAAATACCAAACCACCCCTAAAAAATTAAAATATTAAAAACAATAAATAAATTTATTTCATAATAAAATTTTATTTTTAATCTCTAACCTTCAAATATTTTTCAAGTAAAGAATAATTTAAGCAAATAATTGAAGTTAACATAACTGCGTTAGCCATGATTTAAAATTAATTAATAATTCTAATGTTATTATGCAAAAAAATGACATCAAAATGTGCTGAATTTTATGTAAATATTATAAAATGAAGAATGAATTTAAATTATTTAATGACACTTTTATAAAATCCATTTACCGGTAAACATGTGCTGAATAGGATATTTTTAGTAGGTATAGGGCTGAAAATTATATACTATATTACATAGAGCCGTAACTCTTTTTTTAAACTAAAGTTAAAAAAGAAAGAAAGTAAAACTACAAATTATTTGATAATTATATGCAATTTTTAGGTTACAAATTATTCATTTCAAAAAAAAAAAGCACACTAAAAAAAATCTTTTTATTATTAAAACTTTTATATATAAAAAAAAAAAAAACTCTCAAACATGTACATAATACAATTTTATCATGTGCCTGTCAATGGTACCAACTATAATTTAAAAAATGTGTTAAATCGGGCCTACAACCTTAGGGCCCATTAACCCATACGGTGTCTTTCTTGTTCTTCCTGTTTCCTCCGATGGGGTCAACCACCGCGAGCCGCACTCAACAGAGGTCAATGAATATGCTGCATAGTTAGTTACTTCACACCAAAGTCTTCAACTCCAAACCATGTCTTTGTCTTCAGTCCCTGCGCGTCTCACACTCCTCGCTCTCTTCTCTGCTACAACGTTCTATTGCATCTACAAATCACGCCGCTTAAGACTCCTCAAACTCTCTCTTCACCCAAAGCCAAACCCTAACCCTAAACCCACTCTCCCTAAGATCCTCTTCCTTTCTGAAACCGGAACCTCCAAAGCCCTCGCTCGACGTCTCCAAAGCGTTCTCGCTTCAAACGACGTCGCATTCGACCTCGTCGATTGCCAACACTACGAGCCCGAAGACCTCCCTAAGGAAACGCTCCTTCTCGTCGTCGCTTCCACCTGGGAAGACGGAAAGCCTCCTCCAGGTTCTCGATTCTTCGCCACGTGGCTCGCCGAGAGCGCCAAGGACTTTAGGGTTGGTTCCTTGTTGCTCTCGCGGTGCCAATTCGCGGTGTTCGGCGTCGGAAGCCGAGCTTATGGAGACACATTCAATGCGGTCGCGAGGGATCTCGCGAAGCAAATGAAGGCGTTGGGCGCGACGGAGGTAGTTCCTCTTTGCGAAGGGGATGTTGATGGGGATGCTGACGTGGATGGGGTTTTCGATCTGTGGTGTGATAAAGTTGTTGGGTTTTTAAAAGGCGGTGGTGGTGGTTTCAAAAATGGTGGTGCTGTTGTTGGTGGGGAATGTGGTGTTGTTTCGAGTTCTGAAGAGGATTCTGATGTAGAGAGTGAGGTGGAGTCGGAGATTGTTGATCTTGAAGACATTGCTGGTAAAGCTCCTTCGAGGAAGTCAGTGGCAACGGTTGAAGGGACTAATGGGAAATTGAATGGCAGAAGAGAAATGGTGACTCCGGTGATTAGAGCAAATTTAGTGAAGCAGGTATATAATATAATGTGACATTGCACTTTCTGTGTTTCTTCGATTGCTTGATTAGTTATGGTTTACTTCACTGTCAATTGAACTTTGTTAGATAAGATATAGGTTCTTATTTTGAATTGGCTTTCTTCAAATATTATCAAATTTTCAGGGATATAAAATTATTGGTTCACATAGCGGCGTCAAGATTTGTAGATGGACCAAATCGCAGCTTCGAGGTCGAGGAGGTTGCTACAAGCACTCATTTTATGGAATCGAGAGTCATAGGTAGTGGTAACTTGACTTGCTCTTCATTTATGTTACACGTCTAGTTATGTTTTGGCTATGAGTCTTGAGTTTCGTATCTGTGTCATGCTACAACTTATAGATTACCTTTTAGATGGCAACTCTTGATACTTGAGTTCATTGCCTTATATTGCCCACTGAATTTTAAGATGGAGCTTATTACTTGTCTTCATATGATTCAGTAATGGTGTGAAACTCTTTACACCATTGGTGGTTCAATATTAAATGTATAAAACAAAAAAAATTTACTAAATGGATCAGGAAGAGAAAAGAAATAGGGTCTGCCTTTATTTGAAGATAACTTTGGGCTGGAATTTCATGATATGGTTTCAAAAGAGTATGCTGGACTTATGATTGCCCTTGCACATTATCTGAACTTTGCCCTTGCACATTATTTGAAGATAACATTATCTGAACTTAAGCTGCCAAATTCACAATTTTGTGGGGTGAAACAGGTGTATGGAGGCAACTCCTAGCTTGGCATGCGCAAATAAATGTGTTTTCTGCTGGAGGCATCACACAAATCCAGTAGGGAAAAGTTGGCAGTGGGAGATGGATGATCCAATAGAGATTGTAAATTCTGCAATAGACCTACATACAAATATGATTAAACAAATGAAAGGAGTTCCTGGTAAATTTGCGTTTCTATGCTGTAATCATTTCATAGTATGAGGCTATTTGGGATCTATTCTCTGATTGATGGATCTACATAGGTCAATAATGAAGCAGCTAAAGTAGCTCTTGATTATATCATGCATACTATTGGTCACCTTGTTCTCATTGAAAGTATATTGGGCACGAAGGATATGTTTGGGTGGAGGAGTTTGGAGGGAAAGAGAAGGGAGGGTTACATTTTCATTTTAAGTAAATATTCTCTTTTTTTATGATTTTTTTAAACGAGATTATTATGATTTGAATATAAAATAATATGTTGTGTATTGATCTAATTTAGAGGGTTACAATATATAGAGACTCTAATGGGCTTAAGTGAAAGGCCCAGACCTAATACAAACCTAATACAATCAGAATTAATTACAGACTAATCATATCTAATCATAATAATTACAGACTAATCATATCTAATCATATTTAATATATTCTAACACTCCCCCTCAAGCTGGTGCGTGTATATTGTGAGCACCAAGCTTGTTACAAATATATTGAACCTGAGGACCTCTAAGAGCTTTAGTGAAGACATCCGCTAGTTGATCAGAGGAGTTGACGAAAGCAGTCTTGATTTCTCCTGACTGAATCTTTTCTCGAATGAAGTGACAATCAATCTCTATATGTTTGGTCCTCTTATGAAAGACAGGATTAGAGGATATATGTAGCGCAACTTGATTATCACAGATGAGTGTCATGGGTTGTTTCTGTTCACAAAGATGAAGCTCCTGAATCAACTGCTTTAACCAGACTAACTCACAGGTAGCATTTGCCATTGCACGATACTCAGCTTCTGCACTAGATCGAGCAACAACAGGTTGTTTCTTGCTCTTCCACGAAATTAAGTTTCCTCCAAAGAAGACACAATAGCCAGAAGTAGAGCGCCTGTCAGAGGGTGATCCTGCCCAATCAACATCTGAATAACCACAAATTTCTGTATTTCCCTGATCTGAATACAACAAACCTTTTCCTGGTGCTCCTTTGATGTATCGGAGGATCCTCACAGCAGCATCCCAATGTGAATCACAAGGGGAATCAAGAAACTGACTAGCCGTACTAACAGCAAAAGAAATATCTGGCCTAGTCACAGTAAGATAGTTGAGCTTCCCAATTAGCCTCCGATAACGTCCAGGATCAGATAACGGCTCCCCCTGTCCGGGCAATAACTTGACATTAGGATCCATAGGTGTATCAACTGGTTTACTCCCCAACATACCAGTTTCTTCTAGGATATCCAAGGCATATTTCCTTTGACAGATAGAAATGCCCTGTCTGGATTGCGCCACCTCAATTCCCAAGAAGTAACGCAGCTTCCCAAGGTCCTTTGTTTGAAATGTACTAAACAAATGCTGTTTTAACTGACGAATTCCATCTGGATCACTTCCGGTGAGAATGATGTCGTCAACATAGACTAACAAATAGATACACTTATCAGGAGATGTAATCCTATAAAACACAGAATGGTCAACTTTACTGCGGATTAAGCCAAACGCCTGAACAGCAGAACTGAAGTGACTGAACCATGCTCGAGGAGACTGCTTGAGACCATATAAGGATTTCCGAAGACGACACACCTTTCCATACTCCCCCTGAGCAACAAAACCAGGTGGTTGCTCCATGTAAACTTCTTCTTGTAAATCACCATGAAAAAAGGCATTTTTGATGTCAAGTTGAAGGAGTGGCCAGTGACGAACAGCAGCAAGGGCAAGAAAGAGGCGGACTGACTCCATCTTAGCGACCGGAGAAAATTTATCGCTATAATCAAGGCCAAAGATTTGAGTAAAACCCTTGGCAACTAAACGTGCCTTGAGACGATCAATATGGCCATCAGGTCCAACTTTCACAGTAAAAACCCAGCGACAACCAACTATAGACTTCTCTGGAGGAGCAGAAACAAGGTCCCAAGTGCCATTGGAATGAAGTGCAGTCATCTCATCAAGCATTGCTTGGCGCCACCCTGGATGGGAAAGTGCTTCACCTGTGGTCTTAGGAATAGAAATAGAAGAAAGACTAGAAACAAAGGTGAAATGAGGTGAAGAAAGACGGTCATAACTCAAAAAGGTATAAAGAGGATAAGGGTTACGAGTAGTACGTGTACCTTTTCTTTGAGCAATGGGAAGAGTCTCTGATGAAGGATCCGGAGGGGAAGAAGCAACAACAGTGGGCGATGAGTCAGCAAGAGTCGAGTCGACAGGAGGCACAGTTTTGCGACGCTGATAGGTGAGAAGTGGTTGGTCCTCAGGTATAGAAGCAATAGGTTGCTCATCTGGAATAGAAGCACCTGCAGCTGGCAAAGACAAGTCAAGAAAAGGGACAGGAAGTACATGATCAACCTGTGACATCTGAGATGGGATAGAATTAAAGGGTTGTTGATCAAGAAAAGTGACATCAGCGGAAACTAAGTAACGCTTAAGGTCGGGAATATAACAACGATAACCCTTTTGAAGACGAGAATAACCAAGAAAGATACACTGAAAGGCTTTGGATGTTAACTTATCCTTACCAGGAGTGAGATCATGAACAAAACAAGTACAACCAAATACATGTGGAGTTAGAGGATAAAGAGGAACATCTGGAAGTAATAGATTATGAGGAATGTCATTGTGGAGCACAGATGAAGGCATGCGATTGATGAGAAAACAAGAGATGAGTACAACATCTGCCCAGAAGTGAAGGGGAACCTGCATATGAATAAGAAGGGTACGAGCAGTTTCAATGAGATGTCTGTTTTTACGTTCAGCCACCCCATTTTGTTGTGGAGTGTGAGGACAAGTAGTTTGATGTAAAGTACCTTGTGTGGCCAAGAAATTAGAAAAATCAATAGAAACATATTCCTTAGCATTATCACTACGTAGAATACGAATAGAAACACCAAATTGAGTATGGATCTCAGTAGAAAACTTTTTATAAATGGAAAATAACTCAGAACGATTTTTCATTAAATAGATCCAAGTGCAACGGGAAAAATCATCAATAAAGGTAACGAAATACCGAAAACCTAAGACAGACAAGGTACGACTTGGACCCCAGATATCTGAATGAACAAGAGAGAAAGGGGCATCAGCTCGTTTATTTACTCGACTGGCAAAAGAGGAGCGTGTATGCTTCCCTTGTTGACATGACACACAATCTAAAGACTGAAGACCAGACAAAAGAGGAACCATTTTCTGCAACTTTGAAAGACTTGGATGACCAAGGCGACTGTGGATAAGTTGTGGAGATTCTGTGAGAGAGCATGCTACTGAAGGACGAGGCACATCCAGATAATAAAGCCCCCGTGACTCACGACCAACTCCAATCATTTTCCCCGTACCCGGATCCTGCACAGAAACAGAATGGTTAGAGAAAGTAATGGTGTAAGTGAGGGAGTGGATCAACTTACTAATAGAAATTAAGTTATAAGGGATGCCAGGAATGTAATAGACAGATGTCAGGGCCAAGGTAGAGGTCGGACGAGCTTGTCCAATCCCACGAACTGGGGCTTTGGTTCCATCCGCAAGGGTAAAAGACGGTAAATGATCAGAATAAGTAAGAGATGTAAAGAGTTCCTTATTACTACAGAGATGATCGGTAGCACCAGAGTCAAATATCCAAGTGCCAAGTGATGTAGAATGAGAAACACAAGCAACGGGATTACCAGTATAAGGCTGAGACTGAGGAGAAGCCTTCCTGAGAGGGGTTTGGAGTGCAGCATAGTCCGAACCTGAACCAAATGATGCATTGTCTGACTGAGCTATATTTGCAACAATAGAAGGAGAGTTAACCTCCGAGAGATCAGGAGATGCTGCTGCCATTTAAAGATAAAATATAAAAGCCGTAAACGAAGGCAAACGATATCCAATCAAGGAGAACCACGCGTCTAAGGTCAAACCCACAGAGAAACAATCACAGATCCAGAAAGGGGAGGAGAAGGCGGGCTTCTCTGTCCAAGACCGGCCGGAAAAAGCCGCCGGAGTAGTGCACACGTGCCGGTAGAAGGTGGCGCGTGAGGCCCACGCGCAGAGGAGGTGGGCGGCGCGTGAGGGATTCGTTGGTGACCGGACCTCCACAGACTTGATCGCCGGGAGGAGACGGTCCTGATCGCGTGACGTCTGGTCTGAAAAGTCGCCGGAAAAAACGTCTCCGGTGGCCTGAACAGTGGTCCTAGTGGCGGGCGGTGGTTCCGGTGGCCGTCGACGGTGCTGACGCGTTTGGAAAATTACTCAGAAGCTGTTTACAGCCCTAGATGGCTTGCCGGAAGGACGCACGACAAAGAAAGAGGACTCCTAAGCAGTGGGCTTAGGTTTTAAAGCAAAAACAAGGTTTCTAAGCGAAAGCGAGGGTCCTCAGAACAAAAGAGCTCTGATACCAACTTGAATATAAAATAATATGTTGTGTATTGATCTAATTTAGAGGGTTACAATATATAGAGACTCTAATGGGCTTAAGTGAAAGGCCCAGACCTAATACAAACCTAATACAATCAGAATTAATTACAGACTAATCATATCTAATCATAATAATTAGAGACTAATCATATCTAATCATATTTAATATATTCTAACATTATGTAACCTTCAAATCTTCCCTAATTCTTTTCTATGTATGTTTTACAACCCTCCCAATTCAAACCCTTCCATTTTAAAGATACCCTAAAGCAAACTTAAATTATGATCATTGAATATTTAGTGGTTGTGTTGTTATATGTACTTGTCTTCAATCTAGACAGCACTTCCTAATACCTGTGAATTTGTATGGTGGCAAGACCCATTTTGACATATTAATTTCCATACTGCCATGCTGTATATAGTTTCCTAAATCAAAAAGAAAAAGAAAATTAGGTACCAGTACCCTGGTATGAATCCATTCTGACTGATATTGGGAGGATTAGCCTCAAAACAACCTCACCCTTCTGCGTCCCATTCAACATCAACATCACTTTTATCCCAAACTAGTTGGGGTCGGGCGTTGATTGATTTCAAAATTGACTCATTTAACTGTCTTTCTGTAGGAGTCACCTTGGAGCGATTAAATGAAGGTCTATCACCACGGCACTGTGCATTATCTCTTGTTGGTGAACCTATTATGTATCCAGAGATAAATGCACTTGTGGATGAATTGCATAAAAGGAGGATTTCCACTTTTCTAGTTACAAATGCACAATTTCCAGAGAAAATTAAGTCACTGAAGCCTCTCACTCAGGTTTTGGGGCTTTCAGAGTTTCAAAATTTAAAACATGTTGGTTATACATGCAGAGTTAATATTCTTGTTTGCCACATGCAGTTATATGTCAGTGTAGATGCTGCAACAAAGGACTCTTTGAAGGCAATTGATAGACCACTGTTTGGAGATTTCTGGGAGAGATTCATTGTAAGTGATTTCCCGTTATCAGAATGAAAATCTATAAGTATATTGTCTTAGTAGAATTAGATTACATTAAGAAGTGTATTAAGAAGGGAATAGGAGCTGTGCTGTATATTTCAATTTTAATTTTTAAAAAAAAAATCCATCTAACTACTCTAGGAGCAGCTTAGCAGAAATTCCTTTTTCTGATGTCTAAGAGCTTTTTAGGATTCTTACTTCATGAATCATGGACCCTTTTCCCTCAGTGATTGCCATCTTTGAAGCAAGAAATCCATCTAACTACTCTAGGAGCAGCTTAGCAGAAATTCCTTTTTCTGATGTCTAAGAGCTTTTTAGGATTCTTAGTTCATGAGTCATGGACCCTTTTCCCTCAGTGATTGCCATCTTTGAAGCAAGGACATCAGTGCTAGCATTCGAAATCTCCAACTTTATCTTACCATTTGATGTATACTTTATCCTCTTGTTCATATTGTCTATGTATTTTCACTATGTGCCAGGATTCCTTGACTGCTTTAAAGGAAAAACACCAGCGAACTGTATACCGCCTGACCCTGGTGAAAGGTTGGAATACTGAAGAGGTTGATGCTTATTCTAAGCTCTTTAGTATAGGAGAACCTGATTTTGTTGAAATCAAGGGAGTTACATATTGTGGATCGTAAGCCTCCCCTTCCTCTCTCTCTCTCTCTCTCTCTCTCTCTCTCTCTCTCCCATTTAGTCCAGCTAGCTTCTTGTGTCTGAGAACCACCTTTGAGTGACAATGAGCTCTTCACAGGTCCGCTACATCAAAATTGACAATGGAAAACGTCCCTTGGCATACTGATGTGAAAACTTTCTCAGAGGCCCTGGCTCTGAAAAGCCAAGGGGAGTACGAAGTTGCATGTGAGCATGCTCACTCGTGTTGTGTCCTCTTAGCGAAAACTAAGAAGTTCAAAATTGATGGCCAGTGGTATACATGGATAGACTATGAAAAATTTCATGACATGGTGGGTATCTGTGCCCCACTATTCTTTTTGACTTAATTTGGATTTATTGTTTTCTATATGAAATGTATCCTCAATTTAATTCAGGTGGCTTCTGAAAGAACTTTTGACAGCAGAGATTACATGGCTGCCACACCATCCTGGGCCATCTATGGATCAGAGGAAGGTGGATTTGATCCAGGTCAATTGAGATATAGGAAAGAGAGACATCATAAGTCAAGCCGCAATCAATCAGGTTAGAAATTTAAGAGCCATGTGCAGAAATCCATTTCCCCTTTTTTCCTTTTTTCTTCAGTGTATAACTCATTAGGTTATACAAATATTCAATACGATAGCTTTTAATACATGGCTTTATAAATAGGTTAAATCATTTCAGTGTATTTAAGCCTCAATCTTTTCCCAATCCAAAGCAGTTGAAGAGAGCATTTTATTTTTATTATTTACAACAAATACCTACCTTGGATTCAATGTTGTAGTTGCAGAATAGAGAGAAAAGTCCTGCATCATTTTGTTTTTGAAATGAGATTCGAAAAATATGCTTGAGCTTTCACTGCAGTTAGCATTGCATTGTGTTGCTCTGCTTTAATTTTGTGTTGCTAGCATTGGCATTTTTTCTTAAATTCCTTCAGTTAGTCTTGAGCGGAGGAAGATAAAATATAAGGGAAAAATGTTTATCCTTTTAAATGACACAACTTGTGTCATTTCACTTTCACAAAGAGGTGAGATTCACACTTTTTTTTTGTCCATTCTCTCTCCCCTTGATCTATCTCTTTCTCTCACTTAAAATGAGACAACTTTATATCTTTTAAAATGACACATTTTTCCCAAAATATAAATATTATAATGCAATGCAAACACAGAATGTATAAATCTCACAATAATGCTCCACTTCTATTTTCTTCTTGGAGTTCATTTGTGATCTATAAGTTTTAAAATATTATTATCACAAGCTATAATGCACCGACACTTTAAAAATTCTGACGTGTCGTATTCGACACTTCCCGACACTCCGACACTTCTCGATACTTCAACACGCATTATAGAGAATCCAAAAAGGGTTCAAAAATTGCGTTGCGTTACGTTACGTTTTTAGTTCTAACTATTAGATTCGTTGGATTACGTTTACCATTCTATTGAATTTAATATAAATATTTGTGATATTTTATGTTTCTTTGCAAGATTGATGAGTATTATAAGTTTAGCTTCATTTATTGTTAAATTATTGAATATTAAATATAATACACAGTACATAAATTATAATTATTATTTAATATCAAAACGTGCCTTAATATGTCGAAATTTAATATTTTTTAAAATTAACGTGTCGTGTCACGTGTCTTGTGTCGGTGTCGGTGCAATATAAATTATAAGTTAATGTAAACCTATCTATTTACATATAACAACACTTGGTATGTAACAAGAAATAAAAACCTCGGTAGTTATTCACTATGCCGACTTCTATCCAAGTCACAATTTCATTATTTGTTTGTTAAAAACTAAACATCCATTTTGGTCTTCGAATTTTCTATTGACATTACTTTGACTTTTAAAAGATAAGTACCATCAATTTAATCTGTCACCTAAAGTGACATCAAAATCATCCTTCTGTGAACCAACAGCAAGATTGTAGCATTAAATTGATATCACTTTTCATCTTTCAAGACCAAAATGATCTCACTTATCTTTTACCAAATTAATGTCAATTGAATCTTTTAGGGACCAAAATGGGGGTACACTATTTGTTAAATTGACCTTTAAAATATCATCAAAGTCAATATTGGTATCTAACGCGGTTTCCGGATGCTGCAACACTCGCTCGCTTCATACGCTCTGCAGCTGTGGAATTGTTAGCTTAGACCATACTCATATCTTGAATAATTCTACAAATGCATACTTGTTCACACATTACTTCACATCTTCACAGTATTCATAATGTGATTACTGCTGGACGGACTTTTTTTTTTTTTTTTTTTCGTACTTATACACTGATTTTGTTCCTACCCCTAAGTGAGATGTTGGAAGAAGCACTATTTCTCATTCCCGTTTGCAAGTGCTGGAAGTCATATTACCTTTTTTTCCCTGAAACATGCTTTCGTACAGCGGCAACTATGTTCTGGCAATTTTTCTTTGTAGTACCTATCATTTATAATGCATTTGACATCTATGTTTTAGCTGAAGACAACTTTGGACCGCGATAGAATCGTCATGTCTGAGACCTAACTTCTTAGTAGTTCCTATCAATTATAATCCATTTGCCACCTATCTTTTAGCTCAAGACAACTTTCGACCACGATACAATCGCTTGATTTGATACCTAACTCACAGCAATGGAGGTTACATTCGTAATTAGCTGCCAATATTAATATTTCGGAGTACATAATCGTACTCCCCCAAAGGAAGGAAGTAAATTCAGAGATGATCAGACTGATTTCGTGCTTTTGATTGGCTTTTTGACCAAAATATATATAAAAAAAAAAAAAATCGAATTACAGAATCTTGGAAATGTTTTACTAAAGTATTGAAGTAAGTTGCGCTTTTTTTTAAGTAGATAAGTCAGTCACGCTTTAGGGCTAGTGTGACTTGGGCTGTTGCTGTCACCTGGCAGCAAGAAAAACTTTAATGCATCGAAGGCATTGAAATCGGTGCTCTGTTTTACTAAATAAGAATTTGGACCTGAATCGGATTAGTCACGAATCAATGAACCAATTGAAATATTTCAAAAAAAAAAGAAAAAAGATTAGGACTTAAACAAAAGTAAAAAAAAAAATGGGAATTTTTTTTTCTATTTAATAAAAGGGATTATAGAGTTCGATGCTGCATTGAAGTTTTTCTTTCACTTTAGGATTTAGGATTTAGTGTGACTCAATCTCTAGTGTTTGTTTCAATTTTCAATTTCTCTTGCACCCGTATTTCCCAATTCTCAAAAATGTTTATTAGCATTACAAATAACTAATATTGAATAAAAAAACATTATAAACAAGGACTAATATCTAATAAGTAGGATAATAAATAATAAATTTATTATTATTTTGCAAATTAATATTAAAATTATTGAAATGAATAATAATTAATGGAAAAATTATTTATCATTTTAAAGAAGATAAGTTTTTATTGCATTTTAAGTGAAATTACAGTATTTTGGTGATTTTTTAGTTTTTTTTTTTATATTATCTCTCCTTCAAAAAATTAGGAGAGAAAGTGAGAGTATTATGGATGAAAGAAGGTAAAAAATCACTAAAACAGTAATTTCACTTAAAATGACATAAATTTGCTTTTGAAATGAAATATTTTTTCTATAATTAATATATAAATAATTTTCACGTGATGATAACTTGGTGATGTTTTTCTTTCTTTATTCATCTGAAATTTCAAATATTTAATACTCTGAAGAAGTGGTTAAATTTTCTGAATTTAAATTTCTCTTAACAGTTATAAGAATTTAGAAGTATAGCACCAGATTTGTAATTTTTTTATTTTTTTTGAATAATTTTACCATTCAAGTAATTATGGATGAGGTATTATTCATCTCCCTTAAATTAAATGATATCAAATATATAGATTCATTCATCTCATTTAAATGATATCAAATATTTGAATTAACAAATATATCAAGTAACAAATGGGGAAAGTGTGTATTATTTTGAAGGACACAAAGTTGTGTTATTTTAAGTGAGAGAAAGAGATAAATTATGAGAGAGAGAATGAGTGAGAAATTTTTAAAAATGTGAGTCTCACCTCTTTGTGAGAGTGAAAAAATATAAAGTGTGTCATTTAAATCCCTTAACAAATTATCACTATTGACAATAATTTGATGTTTTTGAATTTAAATAAATTTTGACAGTTCACGATAAACAATTAAGAATTATTTATAATTTTATTTAAGGGATTAATATTTCTTTTATTTTCTATACACATATAAAAACGTGTAGAGCTTTTTTTTTCTCTCTTCTCTTCATATGGCCCACATATGAAACTTATACACTTTTATGTATGTATAGGAGATAATTTTATTTCCTATAACATAAAAAATATTAATTCTTTTAATTAATATTTAGAAGAAATGAGAGAATATAATAAGAGGGGAGTGAAAATTGGGACACATCATCATGATTCTATAATATGTGAGCATCCTAGCAATTTGGTCCAGTGTGATAGAATCATACTAGGGCCTATTATGGAGAAGATCTTTTGTACTATCGCGACGTTCCGTTTAAAATGAAATTACAAATTATATATTATAATTTCATATATATATATATATATATATATTCTCTTCAAAAAATATGTCAATATAGATATTGTGTTTTTATCAATGTTATTAAAACTAGCTCGGTCGAGGTACTAGGTCACTGGTTCAACCGCATGACCCGGTAATTATATGCAATTTTATAATTTAATTAAAAAATTATTAACATACTCAAATATCTAAAAAAATGATAAAAATTTCAAATATTTTATTATAAAAAAAATAAATCACATATTATTATCCAATAAAAAATCAAATAAAAATATAATGATCATGATAGGGGCTTTAAGTTCAGAAAACGATATCTCTAAAGATAAATCAAATCAAATTTTTTGCATAGTACATAATTGAGATAATATTAGTGTTGTAGTTACATATTTTATGTAAATCAATAAGTAAAAAAATATTCAAATATGTCTATTATGATTATTTTTGAAGAAATAATTTTTTTTTTTTTTTGAGACCTGGCCGGATTACCGGTTTTTATGAAAACCGGTCAGGTCGCATCGATTCTGATACATCATCAATCCATTGCTTCAACTGGACCGATTACATGAAACATTTATCGATTCTCGATTAGAAATTTCGCCATTGTGATCGTTGGGACTCTTATCACGTGACAATCCTGATCACGCTTCATACTGTTAATAAAAGAACCCTTTTAATTTGCCAGCTCTTGGAAAATTATTGAACTGAAACACTAGAACCGAAGCTGCAAGGCTTTGGGTATGGTCATCTGTGCATGATTCATTAATTAGTAGTCACCAAAGCTGACAGAAACAGGAAAAACAATATAGAAAACGACAGAACAAATTGCAAGGAGCCCCATTTCTAATTCCACCTAAAGTTATCTAGAGGTTATAATTTCTCTCGGAAAATACCCCTTTACGCGTCTTGATTAACAATATTTTAAAATCAAAATCTCTTCTATTTGTTTTAATTGGTACAAAAGAAAAATGCAGATGGAAACAATTCACAATCTTGACCATACCAAACATAAAACACCCCCAAACTTGTACAAAAGACATGACCAAACACACTGAACAAATTAGACCACAACAAAGATATAATACTACATTCACCAAAAAAAATAAAAAGATATAATACTACTACTAGAAGAAAAGAAAAGAAAAACCAAGCAAAAGATTAAAATACGATAGCCTTCAACCCAGACTCTTCTCATTGTTCCTGAATGGTTGACCATGACCTGGGCAAGCAATATGCATGTTTGTGTTTTGTACAAACCTTTCGTAATGGCTTCGATACCCACCACATCCAGGGGAATGTGTTACTTACAC